AAATAGTGGAATGCCGCGGGTACAGAATGTCCCTTCACCGAGAGGGTTGCTTGCTTGCTGGTGAGACCACCGTAGCTCGGGCGGGGGGGGGGGGTGTACTCATAATCGTGCATGCCGTAATCCTTAAACCATTGACCTCACATCCCTACAAAACCGGGACGGAACACGCCGGGTTCTCACCGGACCAAGCTCTCACATCACCAAGCGCGAAACGCCCTGAGGTATTTGGCGAATCGCATGAAGGGTGAGCTGCATCCTTCTAAAGGTGTTCGGCATCTTGTGCTTACTTCCTTGCGTACGGATGGCAACTACCTATGACTTAATTTATTTTCTGGTGCTTTCACTTCCAAAAACAGTTGTAATCACTGTGTAACTGCCTCCAGGATGCTTGACCATTTTAACACAACGTGGTGCGATCATCCCCCGTTGCGCGGAGTGAAGTTTCTCGACCCCGCACAACATGATCTACTCGACCACCATTATGGTTACCGCCAAAAAAAAAACCGAGGTAAAAAAAAAAAAACGGTAACCTGGTTGCCGAGTTCACGAAGTGAATTGGCTTGTTTTACAACGTCGTTGCCAAGCGACGAAAACCCAACCCCGATGGCAAGCACCGGGGGGGGGGGAGCAGGGGGGGGGGGGGGTATTCGGAGGCGAGATAGACACACACCAACAACGGTCCTACGGTCCTCCTCTGGGGGCTGTGTCTGGGTGTGTGCGCATATATGTACGAAGCGTGACGCTTTGGTGCGTGGCGAACGGAAGATAGTTTCAATGCGCGGTGTTTTGTTTTTCTGCTGGCGACAAGTTGGGGTGTTGATGTGAAATGGTGTTGTAGTTGCTGTAGAGGGCTACGTATTTAGTGTGACTCTTTTTTGGCGTGTGAACGAACGGAAGATTTGGCGAACGGCTTAACGCGCGGTGTTATGTTTGTATGGTGACGACCCAACAGTTGGGGGGTGTTGTTGTTTGTTGTGACTACATAGTGACGTCCCGGTTGAGGCTCACGCGCCGAATTGTTGTATTTTCTCTTGAACTTTAGAGTTGTATTGTACGCGGCACAGTACTCGTGCCCCACCCAGCTCACGGCATGCCTGCGGTGGTGAGGGGCCGGTGATTTGGCGTGGTGTGCGCAAGGGATCAGGTTTAAATTTTCGTGTGCTTTTTTGTGTGTCTTGTTGCTGGTTGGCCACGCGTGGATTTGTGGGCGTGCCTATTCGGTGTGCTGTTGCCCTCCGTGCGCAATCCTTATCAAATTATAGCGGCGTTCTATACATATGCCCGTTCATTTGTAGGCGGACAATGCGAAGAGAAGAACCGATAACGATCGGTTACGCACAGGTTCCAAGATATCTTCTCCTTGTGAGGCGTAGGTGTTTTCTCCGGTTTCCAGCGACTACTGTTGGTCCTTGGCCAATGGTGACTTCAAAGGATTCAGGACTCAATACCAGGCCTTCGTGTTTTTTTAGAGGAATTGCCTTGAGTGTGTTGGTCTATCTCGGCGAGGCTCCCCACAGCGGCGGCAAATAGCCTACCGTATGCAGAAAGCCTTGTGTGTTCACCAGAGGGGGCGCTCTTGCGAGAACATAGCCACCCGATATGTATTCCGCCGCTTCGCAATTATATGCATTTTTGCGAGGCTGACCCTACATGTATTGAGTGCACAGCCCCACTCTTGGAGCGGTTTTCGCGCCTTTGTCCAACCGTCACGTTTCTAAGTGGACCGTGTCGTTTTCGGGGGGTTGGATTCATTCAGACTAGCGTGCTCCTTTCTGCAGAGGTTGTCATCAACTATGTAGTACTGCAGTAGTAAAGGCTCGTTTTTGAAGAAAAGAAAAAACTTGCAAATTTGCTAAGTATGTAGTACTGCTGTAGTAAAGGCTCGTATTGGTCGCTCAACCCTTGGTAAACTGTTGATTTAATCGACGTACTGCACAGGACTAGGTGGGTAGTCGTTTCTTGCAGCAGGGGCATTCCCGCCTTGCTGTCGCTGGGAAACGGTCCAATTTGGCAAAACCGACAAGCATCATTGCAGACTAGATACAGCAGGCCAGCCAACGGTGCCAAAACTGTCTCGAGTTGTTTGCGTTCCCTCGAGAACTTTGACGGCACGGAAGTGAAGTTTGACACCCCACCCGCCGTACTTGTTGACTGACACTCGTTCAACAACCTCCGCGAAAAAAGGCAGCGCCAGCAGCCAAGGCCACATCGGTCCCCTGCTGCCCCTGCTCGAAACTCTAAACCCCGGCAGCAGCACCGGGGTTGACGGAAAACACACACACCACTCCAGCTTATCACTGCTGTGGACTAATCCTACTTGTACACGCTTCACACACACACTCACACACCACCGCCAACGCCACCGTCGAAAAAAAAAAAGACGAAAAACAGCAGGGCGCCGATCGATTTCCACAACCAACCCGCTGGTCGCTCTCGGGGGTGAAGCCTCACAAGGGGTACTCCCTCTCCCCTTTGGACTCGGGCACCCCTTCCTCCTCGAGCTGCTTCGTCTCGGGTGCGGTCAACTTTTCCCCTGCCGGGTCGTCCGTCCCCTCGCTGTACACCGGAACCGTGATGTGCTTCGTTTCGTGCATCTGTGGGACGGCGACCGGGAGGGGACGTTGGCAGGCCGGCAGGTGGTGCAGCGCGCGGTGGGTTAATGGTTGGGTGGTGTTACGCGGGGGCTTTCGTTCAGCGGCGAGGCGTTATTCTGCCGGCAGGAGGGGGGCGCGGAAGCGGCGGCAGCAGGAATCATGACCGTTGCCGTCATCAGGAGGGTGGTCCTGTTGGTGAATCGGCAACGTCACCGAGGGGACAAAGGTGCTCCGGTAGGGGGCCTGCGCATGCTCCTGGCCTCCTGGCTATCTCGGCATCCAGTGCCCTTGTTTCGCTTCCCGGGGTCGAAGTGGCCCTCCTCCGTGCAAGGCCTGCTTTCGCCTTCCTTCCTTCAATCCTTTCATTCGCGTAACCTTTCGCTCAAACAGGCTGCTGTTTTGTGTGATATTGCGCGACTGGGTACGGGTTCTCTGGTGCGGTACGGCAATACTCTCAGATACGACACCGCGCTACGGCACCGGAGCCTGTCAACAGCACTGCTGTGTTAGCACCGGTTTGCACCCCCGGCACAACTCAGTAGCCACAACGGACACGGCGACATGCTTCAGGGCAAGCTACCACCACCACCAGGCAAGACCCTTCCTTCACCTGGAGGTTGACGTTGAGCCACGCGTACGCCAGCATCAGTGGGACAACGACCGCCACCACCGACAAACCGAAGAATGTCCACAGGCCGAGCACCACCGATACCGTCGACAAGTCATACAGCAGGAGGCCCATCTGCGAAAGAAGGAGGGAGGGAGGGAGGGAGGAGAGGGAAACAGCAGGTTGGAACAGCAACAGCAGCAGCGGAGCCACGGAAGAGATGATGACTTAAGCGCACAAAATAAACGCGCAGGCCACCGTAGCTGGATGGAGGCAAAATATCTAGACGAACCGTTGTCCTTTTCTCACTTGCCTGGTACTTCAAAAAATTACTGCACGATTATGGGCAGACACGTGCAACACAGAGGCGTCGATTCTGCGTCCCTTCTTCGAGGGCAATGCACGCTTGCACCAAGCACAAACCAAGCGCGCAGAGGCGAGGGTGTTTCTTACAGTCTCCCCTCCTCCACCGGAAGCCTTGGTCGTCGTCGTGCCGATCCCTCGACAAAAAACAAACAAAAACAGGTCAGTCCGGCTAGCTCTACGAACACGGTGTCGCGTGCTCTCTGTTAACCTTGAGGGACAGCAGGCCTAGGGTTTTTATTAGGGCATACACGCAAGACGAGTCGGAAATGAGAACCCTGAGGCTGCTGCCACCCGCTCTTGGTTGGCCGCCCTAACTCGCCTTCCCGTGCCAGCGGTACTTCTTGCCCCTATTTCTGGCGTCGATGACACCGCTCGTGAAGCTCATGTGCTTCAACCGCCCCACCACGACTTGCATCACCATGGCCAGCAGAGTCTGAACGAGCAGTAGCAGCAGCAGCAGCGGCGGCAGCAGCAGCAGCAACAACAACAACAACAAAGCTTCCAGCATCAGCAGCGTACCAAACGTCGTCGTCAGCGGCGGCGGCAGCAGCAGGTTTACCCAGGACTACGCCCCCTCCGCTCCTGAGAGAGAAGCAGCAGCAAGGTCAAAACGTTTCGACAAAGGGGTCCCGTACATCACGCATATTTCCCGATGCCGAAAACCGAGCTGAGAGTCATCTACATCTAGCGAGTCCTCTCGGGGCCAGCGAGACCAACGAACGCGCGCAAGAGGAAGAGCAGCGGGAAGAAACCCAAGAGACTCACGGGAATACGCACCAACTGTACGGTACAACTGGCACGAACGAACCCGCATTGTACTCACGAACACGATTGCGTTGTGCGATGAGCATGACCATACCCGGTTCTCTGGGTTGAGACACCTTCGAGATGGCATTTATGCCCAAAGGGTTCCGTACCGTTTACAACGACAGAGAAGACAGTACGGCGGGAAAAGCTGAATTATTCCCCTTGCAAAAACGAAAAATATGCTGGCTTGCAACTGCCTTGAACTGCTTGCCTTTCCCCCGCGTCCGATTAACAGCTATCAACTCTTGATGAAGGACTGCAGGAGGCTTTTCTGCTATGGAATGACAAAACTGAAACACAACACAAAATTGAAGTAGAAAAATATCACAACCAGTAAACATGAACATGATATCGGTGAGAAGTACTTACGATGGCGCCAACCACGCCGTGCCAGGTTCGCGGCAGGATGCTGTTCCTGTGGTACACCTTGTTTCCCGCGATGAAAAACAGCCCCAACGCGGCAAACATGGACGCCAAGACCTGCAGCGACAAGAGACAACAGAAACAAAACACAAAAAAAAACAGGCAAAACACGCGGAGCAAGTACGCAAAACATAAACGAGTGCTACGACATCGCAGGAACAAAAACGAGAGCCGGGGTCCCACAAACACTTCCCTCTGGTCGCACAAGCATACGCATAAACTGTTTTCCTTCGAGAGTCTTGTTTTTGGCCGCCGGGCCACACACCTGTAGCGTCAAATGAATCGTTCTCTTCTTGGCCTTTGTCCCGTTGGACATGATCGGGCTCAGCGAGTCCAGGAGCAGGTGATTCCTGTAGGCCACGACTCCCTCCGGCATTAGCACCACGAAGGCCAAGGCCATGCACGTCGCGTGTCTGCGTTTCGTGTTTTTTTCGGTACATACCCCCGTGGAGACACACATGCACACGGTACGGCGGTTAAGCAAGCTGTCCGTGGTTCGTGTGCAGCGCAAGCACCGGTTTGGCTACATAGCACGCCGGGTTTGCAGCGGCTGGCAAGTGTTTGTACCGTAACGTAGCGCAACATCAACATCATCGCGGCAACATCAGCGGCGGCGGCAGCAGGAGCAGTAACATCCCACTGAGGACTAGCGAACACGCCAGAAAAAGACACTTACAAGCTGAAGAGGTTGAGGCTCTCCGTCTTGGAGAAGGTGGACGCGATGACGATCAGCGCGATGACCGGGCCCATTATGTGCGTCAGGAACCTCGGTTTCACCCATGCAGGGCTCTGTTCAAACGAAGAACGGGACGCACGAGCAGAGGCAGAGCGCAAGAGCGTGTTGTGTGTGTTGTTCTCGAGGAAACATGCAGCTTCGCTCAAATCGGAAAATGTGTGGAAAACCTTTGTCCTTTTCTCTTCCAGAAAAGGCCGTGACGTTTTTCTGGGGTGACGATCAGCAGCGGAAAAACTCTCGCGACAAGTCGGGATCGGAGTCGGAACAGCCGTGGTTCGACACGAGTATGAAACTATCGATGGATTTCGACGTCGTTGCAGCCGTTGCGAAGACAGCCCGTGTTACGCGAGACCGTCGGAGCCAGCACCGAAGTAACAAGGTGCTGCAAGATGGTGGACTAAAATACTCCTTCCCCACCCGACCAAGAAGGTTGTCTTGCTTTGTTGGGGTGTTAGGCGGCATGCGCACCTTGGGCACACGTACACTGTTCCGAAACCAGGGGGGCGGGCGGGAGTTTGGGCGTCAAACGTCGGCGTGGAACCCTCTCTCGCGCAACACGGTCAGACCATAATAATTTACGAACACACGAGATACAGCAGTAGGCGCCCGCATTTCCGTCGCAAGGAATCGAATCGCAAGTTTTCCCGAAAAAAAAAAACAAGCAGGGTTAAGAAACACAGCTTAGCGCTGCGGTGGATCCTACCCTACCTCCGTGGTAAAACAGCCTGTGCTTGACTTCATGGTGGCGACGCAAGTAAGGAGCTGGGTCGACAAGAAATTGACGTTAATTGTCTCCGGGCGCCAACTGCTGGATGGATTTGTCACACGTAGCCTAATGGGACAACACCTTGAGGGCATGCCTGGTCCAAGCCGATCCAGTCTCTTCTCTCATCGTTCCTCTCCCGATCACCCTTTCTCCCAATACCCCCCCCCCCCCCGCCCGTCTCTTGTTATTAGAAAATATACACACAATTACAGATGGACTATCCGTTCGAGGTAACACCGTAATTGAAGGGTATGTGTTGAAGTCTTCGCAGTGACCGGGGGGGGAACCGGCTGGATACTGGGCATAGTATTTTGTCCGCATCGCTACATAGCAGTTCCACATAAAAACCGTTGCGCCACCGACACTCTTTGACCAATGGGTAGGTATCCCTGTTCTTGTCGCCATTAAGATGTGGACGATCAAACTCACTAAATAGTTGTAAGAAACATGTGTAAGCTCACATAGCCACAACTTAATTTCTTTCTGTAAATTATTCTGTATGCATATCCCCGAAGAAGAACTTTGACCAATCAACGGATCACACCTCGCGGCAGTCAAACCATCGGATCACCCAAATATTTACAGCAAGCAGAACACCACCCTACTGTAGGTTGGGTTTGACAGCAAGAGCAAGTTGTTACGACTCAAGCCTGAAGCGACATCCTCAAGAGAGCAAGACGCGCGCCAGAAGAGAGGGGGGAGGGCAGCAGGGGGGGCTGTTGTGCGCTGGCTCTTCCGTCTGATTTCTTCACTGCGGGGCAATTCCAAAGGAAATCCTACTTGCCGTGTTTAGAGCAGTATCTCATGGTCCTTCTTCTCTTGTCTTTTCCAAACAACGCTGGCGCAATGGAAATAGCCAGCAATTGTGGCTCCTACAACGATAACCCAACGTCGGGGACGCCCCCCAGGTGTTTCCCAAAGAACACCTCTCTACTCATGATGACGTCGCAACGGAACAAACAGCACGTTCGTTAGATGTGCGGCCATCGATGTCGTCATCGCATGCGCTTGTTACCTTAGAAGCTGCAACCACCCGTGCCCTGGCGGTGGTGATCTTGTCGAGCACCACTTTCATCTTTTGCATTAGGCCCTCCATGCTTCTGTCTCCACGTTACTGGTGTGCACCCGCCTCGAGGATACCGATTCGACCCAGCCCGAAGTCGTTCCGCGCGTTGCTCTTGTTACACTCCTGGGTCCCTCCTCCAATTCGCACAAAATCAAGGCCGCCCCAGAAGGCGGCCAACCGTTCGGGTGTACAAACACTCACGTACACTGCAACACAACACGGATTGATTGCGCTCCGTCTCTCGCCCGGGCGGTCCTATCTGAGCGCTGCAGCAGAGAACTCGCCTATCTGCGCTCCATGTGAGGAGGCCCCGCGTTAGTCTCTACAGAAGCTCCATCCGCACCCACCTACCCATTGCCCACATTCCCGATGACACACGAAGACCCCTTCGTCAAAGTCGGTCCGGTAGTTCGGTCCAGTCGGTCCGTCCGCTTTCCTCCATGCGACAGCGATTTCAGAGGCACAGCGACAGCGAATCCATTCTTCACAGGCAGAAGAATGGACCCGGTCGCTAACCTGCGTGATGAGTGGAGTCAACTTCACACCTCTGTGACCATTGGTTCGATTAAGGATACATACACTAGCCGTGCTTGCCGCCGGGTCTGTTGACATACATCGATCAAGGCGGCGGTCCTCAGGGCCTCACTCCACTCATGATTGCCGTTTCCAAGGGTTGGGCGTACATTGTGGAGGTCCTGATCAAACGCGGAGCCAACCCGTCAATAGCGGCTGAAGGTGGCTTCACTGCTCTCCACATTGGCGCTCAAGAGAGAAACGCCACCGTCGTCAAAATGTTGACCAACGCCGGTGCCGACCTCGAAGTCGTCGCGGGATCCGACGGCTTGACACCGCTTCACGCGGCCGTAAGAGGAGGAGGCTCGGAGGCGGTGAGAGCGTTGATCGAGGCAGGCGCGAATCCCAACAGTCAAACGCCAAGCGGGGTGACTGTTGGTATGGGTTTTCTTTCATTACGAGCCGTGACACCACTGCACGTCGCGGCTGCAAAAGGACGCACGGGTGCGTTGAGGGAACTAATTGCTTCGTGCGAAGGCAAACCCAGCCGCGAATGCAATTTCAACCTTGAGGTAATCGCTATACGGGACAACTGTCGTTCCACTGGACATAGCTGCCTGCGCCGGGTACTCGGACGTGGTGCGCGAGCTAGTTCAGGAGGTTGGGATTGAAGGTGTGATGCTACGAATGCCGGGGAACAAGCTCTCCACCTTGCCGCAATGAACCAGCACATGGACATCATGGCCATCCTGACCGGAGCCGGCGTGCGCGACGCGATGGGCTATGTTCTCCTTGGTACCGCCGGATTGGGCCGTGAGGCATCCGTCCAGTTTCTCTTGCGGCAGCGACGCAAGGAGAGTGAAATGAGCGTTCATGCGTACGCTAACTCCAGCGACGGTTCCGGCATGACACCCCTGAGTTGCAGTATTGAGTGGTGCAGCTCTGGGAATCCCAGGATCGTGCGGTTGCTCGTTGACGCTGGAGCAGATACGACATCGACCGTTCGAGTCACGAACTTGAACGGAGGGGTGGAGTACAACGACACACCTCTGGCTGTCACAACCTCGCTCCTCCGCGAGAAGGTTGTAGACGGCAAACCCGCTACGGAGGAGCAGCTGCATAGGCTGCAGGCCATCCGTCGCTTGCTGTTGCGAGTCGACGCGGTCCATGCGGTGTCTTGGCTGTGGCCAAGCGATGCCCCCTCCATCGTCCATGCTGTAGAGAGGTCCTGTGGTCCCGAGCCGCGTAGGCCACCGCTGAGCCTGACGTTGCCAATCCTGAAGCGACGGGCAAAGACATGTCACGTGTTCGTCGCAACACTCTTGAGGTGAGTGATATGTCATTGAACTTTCGACATGGCGCTTTCTGTGGACAGCACCGTCCCCCGGTCTTCTGTTGTTGATCGAGGCTTGCGGAGTATTGGCCAAGAAACAAGCACCTATTTCTATCGCATAGTTCTTGTTTAGGCGGGCCAATGGCTGTTGAAATTGTTGAGGGTTGTCGTTATCAGTTTTTGGTGATGAGTGCTGCGTACAAGAGAAGCGTTGTGGCCATTCGAGGGTTGCTTTCTGGGTTCTTGCGGCAGTGTTTCCCACGGGTTGGTTGACCCCAGGTACCGAGGAAATTGTGCTTTCATCGGTATGGCTTCACACTGCGGTAGGCCCTACCCTGAGACCTCAGAAGACTGTAGGACCTCGTGAATCACAAACACAGGAGCGTCCGCAGATGCCATCTGGAGCATGGACTCGAAGATGAGCATTGCGCAGCACACCAGCCACCTCCGCATAACACTAGGAAACTACCCAACCTTGTGGACCCAAAATAGGTAGTTTTGGCCTTTCTGCTCTTCCGTACCTTGAGCTCCTAGACATACAATTGCCCATGCGATCGTGTCTTCACCTGTTACGTGGCAAGTCGGTCGTTTTGGTACGAACTATGTGAAACGTTTGCCGAATTCGACCGTTTCCTATGTGGAGACCACCTTCATGAAGGTACAATCTCCCCAACGTCTGTCGAGGACGATCCCCTCTTTCCATATTGGCGTTCGACGAAGCGTTTTCTCCTAGTCAAATTTGTATTCGCAGTAGCACAAACAGCATGACCTTGGTACAAACCCTGTTCACCCTCCTTCCGGCTCGAGTTGTTTCGGGGAAAGGAAAAACTCACCCACAGCAGTGGTTTCACTGAGGTTTAAGTGGGGCATCTCAACCCGGCATCACCAGCGCGGTCTGTGGATCTTAACAGTGTGGGCCTCAGTTGCCAAACTACCAATATCTCCATTCGTGACGCTATCTGTTTGCCTCGCCGGTTTCTTGTTCTTGTATTGTTATTACCGTTCAGCCAGAAGCAACTGCTGTCACGTTACCCTCGCTCCTGCTTCAACTGTTCATTGTCCTGGGTGTTCCGTTTCAAGCTTTGGTCCCGAATCGCATGCTTACTTGCAGGCATTCGGTGAAGCCTTGGCTGGGATGTACTAAAATAGCGGCGGGCGCAAGATTGCGGTGTCCGTCACCCTCTCTCTGCCGCGCGAGGGATTACAACCTTGATTGCTGTTCAGGAGTTCTCCGATATCCAGCGGGCGCGGCTCACGAAGAGCTGATCTGTCCAAGGAAAAGGCGGGGACCGTTAGCTTGGAAAGTTTGGGCGAAACTGCTGTCACATTTTTCTGACTGTGTATATTCCGTAGTTGGTGCGAACGTATGACAACCAAGATCCGTTTCAGCCCCTTTTGGAGGAAAATGAAAACGTTAAACACCTATTATAGCAGCTCTAATTACTGCTGCCCTTGCTCTTTGACCCGCGGAGAGGTACATGCCGCTGCTTCACCAACGTTGATGTCAACCTGGAAGATATCTGTATGGTACGACCATGATGCCCACATGCTTGTGCTGGCGGCCAGGGAGGGACCGTGACGTTGTCTGCCACTTGCACCACATGCTTCATTGGTGCGACGAACGTATTCTTTGTGGCGATGGGTCCACTTGGTGAACAACGAGTTCAACTTTGTGCCAAGCAGGTCCCTTGGCGGTATCCAACGAGTCCTTCGTCGCTAATATTATCACACTGCTCATCGCCTCTTTTACAAGCGTCTTTCGAGCGCAGCCGTGTGAAGTGGTGCAGATGGTCGCTGCGATCGTGTTGAGCAGCAAATGTCGCGTGATGAAACCGGCATCCTCCACAGCTTCGCTTTCGATGAACTCTTTGCCCAGCAGGATCTTACTCGTCAGGGCCCACACTTTCGATGACCCCAGAGAGTCTCATGGTATGAACAACGCTGAACTGCTGTTACAAACAAGCCTACTTTCAGCAAGACTTTGGTCTTACTTATTGGCGTCGATCTAGTCAAAATGGGGCTTCGTTCGATGGAATCATCATTGGTGACGTGTGTCCAGAAGATCATTCAAAGGGCCTCGGTGCTAAACGTGAGGATGGGTAGATACCGAGGGCTTTCGTTAGTCTGCCAAATACAAATGAGAGGGCCGGAGAGGGAAGAACAGGAAGAGGGAGGGACGCAACCATCTTTGGGGTTTTGGCCTGTGGTCGGCAGAACAATAACGAACATGTACAGCGTACCCGGTGCGACCATTTGCGAGCAAACGAGAAAGAGGTCTCTCCTCTGCTTCGCTGCGCTGTTGTTTTTCCGTTATCCCTCTCGCCCCAAACTATTCGTCGATTCGAGAACCACGGAGTCTTTCCAAACGGCAGGTCGCCTGACGGCAATACTGGCCTCGAAAACAGTTGCTAGGCGGTATTGGTCTAGCCAACCCGTGCGTTTCTCTCACCCTTTCGGTCAAGCTTATCCCTCTTCAGCGTTCCACACAACTGCAATTCGCGGTTCTACCGATTGAATCACTTGTATCCACAAAACGCGTATCGGTACAACAAGAAAATACGGAGTACGGCATTCGCAAGTGCTAGGGTCGGGGCAAAGCAGTCGTCAAATCTTCTTTCGCCTCGACGTGCTCGTCATTTTGGTTCACGTCAACATCGATCCCCAATCGAACAAGTGCAACAGTCACAGATTTCGAAGACGCGCGGGCGAAAAGAAGAGGGCCGGCAAACCAGGTACCATCACACACACAACGTCGTGAGGCTGGCCGGAGAAGTGAGATCGCCGAAGACCACGACGGTATTCAATCGAAAACGACGAGAGGAGAGAACGCGAAAAAGTCGCTCGGTAAACCATTACCGAAATGCGCGGTGCCAGGGAGACGGACGGAAACCACAGAAATGCTGGCTTATTGCTCTGGGCCACTGATCGTGTCATAGTGCAATCGCAGCATTGTTAGCATGCCCGTCCGGTCTATCTTACCCAGGACTAAGTTCTAATCCCTTCGAAAAGAAATACCTCCGCACGCCACCAACCAGCATCACAACGCAGTTGCCACAAAATCTGGTAATTTTTGAGGCGCATCGTCTTCCCCTCCTCAATTCTCGTCGCCCAAGTAGGAGAACCCCGTCGACGGTCCGCAAGCGACCAGAGGCAACAAACGCTACAGACGTGCCCCCCCACCCCTCGGCATCCGGCCGAAATCATCCATTGCCCGCCATCAGTACCCCATCGCTTCCATCAGCCTCGCGGCAAGGTCGGCCTTGAGTCCATTTGTGGGAAGGCCGCGTTCCACGAGCGCCTTCTTCAGCTGCGTCACCTGCCCTCCGGTGGGACGGGTCGTGTGTTCACAGCGGTTACGAGTGAGGAGAAATGAGGAGCCCGTGTGCCTCCACCAAGGAATAGCCGATGGATGAACGCATGCCCATTCGTGCTCTCAACGCTTGTTTGAATGTGTACAGGGCTCGTCTGATGATGGGGTGTAAGCGTAGTGCTAGGGCATTTGCTTCAACTATTTAGCACGTTGAGAACATTACCGGCGGAGGTATGTTCACTTGTTGCGGCCATTCCTGGCGCATGCGGAACGTGCCGCCCAAAATGGGACGAAAAACGAGACGACTAACGTTTCCTTGTCCGCATGTTTAGGTACGTATATATATCGGTTCAAAAATAAACGATACATTGTCAGGTCCACTTCCAACTCCTTGGCGCATGCTCCAATGCACACCAAACACCTACAGGGGTATATGTACAAGAGTCATGGCTAATCGTCAACACAACGCCATCAATCGCACGCACGACAAACACCCCGTCATCTCAGCAGAAGTTCAGCCCCACGCGCTTCTTGGTCCCATTCACAGAACATACAGGATGCGTGTTAATCTAACAGGTGTCAGGTGCAGAATGCAGCCACCTCAAAGCACCAAACACATCTTCTGCAAAGCGGAAGTTGAAGTCTCTTGCAACAGATATACCCGAGGCTAGCAAGAAGCAAGACACATCAACAGGGCGGCGTCCTAACACACGCGACATGGGCATGCATTGCCCCCCAGACCAATCGATCTGCCAGTCCTCTCGGTTTGTCGAGGGCATTATGTTCTTAAGCTTCGGAAGACATGACGGGTGGTGTATCGGAGGTCTTCATATTTGGTCCGGGGTGGACTCTTGCACAGAGGGCATCGGCATCACCAGTCGCCTGCTACGTACGCATAATTTCCCTCCCTTTGGTTTGGATGCGGGTTATAGGTGGGTCTTGGTTATTGAAATACGTTTGGGTGTTTTCGCAGACATGTCGGCAGATAGACTGCTGTACACCCGTGTGCCCACCTTATACGACTTGATTTCAGCTTCGGAAAGCTTGGGCCCTCCTCCCTCCTCCTGCTCCATGTCCCCCTCCCCCTCGCCGGTTTCCGCCGGTGCCTCCGTGGCCGTCTCCTCCGCTGTTTCTGCGGCCGCTTCTTCTCCCCCCTCATCATCAACCATAGCATCACCACCACCGCCGCCGTCTGCTCCCCCCTTGGCGCTACTTGCCTCCTCCTTCCCCTCACCCCCCCGCCCCGCTTCTGATGTTGCTGGCGGTTCTTCTTCGGCTTCGCCGTTCCCAGCGTCGGCACCCGGAACCGGCGCCTCCGCCGTTTTCCCCTCCTCTGCACCGTCGACGTCCATGCTTGATGCTTCCGTCGGCGCAGCTTGTGCTGGTGCTGCTGGTGCTTCTGGCGCCGTCGCCGCTGTTCCCGTGTCCATGGGGGCGGCGGCGGGGGCAGCAGCCTTCCCTGCTGCCGCTACTGCCGTGCCCGACGGCTCCTGAGGAGACGCCGTTTGTGGCGAAGCCATTTCGACCTCGGTTGTTGTGGCGGCTGGAGGCTTCCCCGGAGCCGCCGCCGCGGCGGCTGGCGCAGCAGCCCCGTTCGCCGCCGGCGCTCCGCCGCCCTGCTTGTAGTTCGCTGACGGGATGATGCCAGCTTGGATCTTCTTGGAGAGCATTTCAATCTACGAGACGAATAGATACGCACGGGAACGAGGAGAGTGGACAAGAAACATGGGCATAGGTAAGAGGGGAGATGAAGAAAGGAAAGACCAGAGAGAGATAGAAAGACTGTGGCTCGACACTCTGGCTCGACGGCGGCGGAACAGGGATGCCCACTCGACGTTGCCGGGCTAATGACACAACAACCCGTCGCGCTCTTCTGCCGTGTAGTCGGAAGCCGGGAGACCCTCCTCGCAATGTTCTCGAAATATATGTCACGGGGACATGCCCATTGCAAGCCCCAACCCGGAGGGCAGAGAGCATTAGAGAGGTGGAAAGGGCTCCCCGCCCACAGGAGGCGGTGCATTCACCTTGTACGCATACATGGAAGAGCAAGAGGCGCCGTTTCGAAGGAGGACGCGGGGACAATTCGTCGATTCACACCTCCTACGCTTGTACTGCGGTCAAACAAGCAAAAACCCTGCTCTCCTGTACCACTCAGCGCGCGAGAAAAAAACGTGTCGGCCGTCACGCCCACGCGATGACCCCCCCCTCTCCAACCGAAAATAACGCACCTCCTCTACCGTGGTGGCCTTCGCGATGCGATCGGCATAGATGGCTCGGTGCTCGTCTGTCAGCTTCTGCTCTTCCGCCGCGGGGGCGCCCGGCGTGAAGGTCTTAGCCTTCTCCGCCTGCTGCGCCACGTCCTGTATCATCGCCTGCCCTGCCTGTGACCTGGCCAATCGGACCGCCGACTCTCGCTCCTGGCGATGAGAAATGTAACGGGGGGGGGGGGGGGAGGGGGCACTTGTTTGGTGCTTGGGAGTAAGTCATGTGACCATGCATGCCTCAAGGGACACCAGGCACAACGAATTCCACGTTCAAGAGCTATTTTTCGTACGGTTGTTCGTCGATGGCCAACGGACCATTGAACAGCTCGCGCGCACGTGCTAAAGCGTGAACATACACCAATTCAAGAGTGCCAAGAAGACGCGACGCGAAAGAGTTCCGTCCCAACCACGCGACACAAAAGCGCAGGGGGTTGAAGCACCAAAACAATGCCAAGATTACAACAGGTCCAACGACAGCGACCATGGCCATATTTACAGCGCCCCGGGTCCGGTACACGGAAAAATCGCGCACACACGCAACCACAGCTTGAAATGGGGCCCTTGAGAAATCACGACAACCAGGCGAAAAAACTTCGGCACAACTGCGCCTACAACTTCTTCGTGTGTCTTCCTTCTCTCTCCCTTTTTCTCTCCCCGCTCGAGGCAAAACCAAAACCATCCTCACCTTCACCGTGACCTTCTGGAAATCCAGCTGCTTGAGGCTGGGTATGAGGTTGATCATGTACAGTCGGTAGTACTGCTTGTTTACCACCTCGTTGTGCAGCAAGGAGAGCATCGTCAGCTTCGTGCAGGTGCCAAGGCCCTTGAGTTCCGCTAGCGTGGAGAGCTGCATGTAGAGGGGAGGGCGGGCGCGGGGACATTGTGTGTATATTAGCAGCTCTTAATCGGTGATCTCGTCATCATTTCTGCAAGCGCCGCCCCGTCACGGGACGATAGCCCCGAACTTTCGGTTGTCAGTGTTATCCAACCCCGAGAAGCGGTCGACAACAGCGCACCAGCAGGCAGAAATGCCACACCTCTCTTCCTAGCGTTCCACCGACACCACCACTTTCATCTACCGCAAGAAGCACCAGGAATCGTCAACCATCGAACCACAAGAAGCCACTTCGAAACAATCGGAACAGACACGAACGGAGGAGGAGTGCGGCTTCCCTCCTGGCTTGAGAATAGAAAAAGTACACCGCTGTACGCATTCCGAGCTATTCTTCGTGTATCTCGTTTCTGTCCGCCGCTCGCCCCGTCCTTCTCCCCTCTCCGTTCCACGATGAAGACCCGCGGATTGACAATCTGCGACAAGGACGGGACCGAAGAACCTTTGGCCCGGTCCTCTCTACGCCCCCCGCGCCACATCTACCGCTCACCTTGTTGTTGGTGAGTATCAGGCAGGAGAGGTTCGGCAAAGCAGTGCCGAGGTCTTCCGAAATCTTGGAGACGTGGTTGTTGCAGAGGAGGAGGGACGACAGGCGCTTGTACCGGGGGAAGTTGTCTAGCTTCTTGATCTCGTTGTCCGAGAAGTCCATCGCGTCGAACTGATCTTGGGTCACCTGGTTCACGCGTGGAGATCAACAAAGCACACGTACGTACGCACGCAAGCCGGGACAGTGCCAGCAGCAAAGGGCGTTTATTCGCTCGCAGCGGAGCAAAATGCGAGAGGCCCGCTTAAGAAACCGGAAGCGGCCACGAAGAAATCGCCGCATCCGGCACCAGCATCAGCGGCGGGGCAAAACTACGACGATAAAGGACAACGACAACAACAACAATACGACGTCGACAAATATAAAGCGTGTGCCTTGTCGCTCTGCTGCAGCCCCCCTCGCCTTTCCTTCACTCCCCCCCCCCCACACACACCTCTTTCTCTCTGTTTCCCCGTCTCTTTTTCCCAACCCCTTCCCCCGGCTACTGCCGATGGCGAAACGTTAGGTTAGCCGGGATACCTCAATCAATCCATGGTATATCTGGATGGCACAGCAAACGCAAGGATAAAGACCAGGTCCTGATTCATCCTTGTAAAACGTAGCCCGGGCCAGCGAGCAACTGCCATATCGCTCCGTCCCGACATTGTAGGGATGCGAGGTTAATGCTCTAACCACTACGGCATGCCGATTACACGAATAACCCCCCTCCTGAGAGCCTGGTCCGGTGGGAACCCGGGATGCTCCGTCCCTGCTTTGTTGGGATGCGAATTCAATGGTCTAACGACTACGGCAGGCACGACTATGAGTACACAGACCCGCCCTGCTACTCGTCCGCCCCGTGGTCGTGTTTCGTCTCTCACCCCCAAGTTCTCTATCATCGGGATCTTGTACCCGCGAAGGTCCAGCTCTCGCTCGTCGCAAGGGTTGATGCTCGCACGAGCGTGCTGGAACGAGCGCGGGCAATACACGACACGCCAGAGGGGAAGGACACCGAAATCAATAAGCACAGGCCTCGCAACAGCAGGTGCATTGCGTTGACGGGCGGAGGAGGGTACGCGAAACCATGAAACGTGGGTGGAATTCTATCATGTTGGTTTGGGGGCGTTGGTCGGCTTTGTTGACTATTCGATCAAATGGGCAGATTCCAAAAAGTGGTGTCCATGTGCACAGCATCATTCTGGTAAATGCCCGTTTCTGTTATCTGTACGCGCGGGAAACAAAAACCCGAAAAACTGGCCAAACCTCACTGTTGTCTCTACCACCGGCCGTTCGTCTAACGGTTCTTCCGTGTTGATGCCTGTAGAGTTCGTCATCAGTCAGCTCCGACTGGCGCTACTCCCGATATTGCTTGATATTCCGCTCCTGATCAACAAGAATCTGCTACTATACCCCCATGGACGCATCACGCCACACGGCGCTACAACACACCTTCCGTTTAGCTGCAGATGGCCAGGAACGGAAACCCCGACCGGCGCTAGGTACAGCAGCACGGCGAGATGAAAACTTTGACAGTTTTTGCCGAATCCTTGCAGGTTGGCCGGTGCTAGGTGCTTTGTTCGCAATACCATCTACGATGGGCCTACCCGACAGACATGTTGTGCCACAGTCTTCGTACATGAACACACCGCAGCGAAAAGCTTAATGGTCAAAGCTGTTGTGTCCGCAGCACGTATGGGAAGAAAAAAAGCACACCAGCAGTTCAGTCCGCAAGACCCCCGCCGACAGCCCCAACAAAGTTTGTACGGCCTTAATCGACATCGTGAACCTGGTACAGCAGTGAATGGTACCGTTTCGCTGGGGCGACGCTGTGTAACGGAACTTATCTTTCGAGAACCGAGAGAACCGAAGAGAGGTGTAGGTCGGCTGAACACCCCCGGCACAACCATCGATGGCGATACGCGGATCATTACGACGAAAAAATTCCATATTTTTTACTGCTGGAGTCCGGAAGCCCTACCTCAGACATCTCAACTGCACCAGCATGGATATTCCTGTTTACATGGTGCAGCGGGACGCCGCAATGGCAGGGCGCCCTCAAGACATACATACGGATGGAAAAGTCGCTTTTGTACAAATGCAGCACGAGACTGATCGCTGTACTGCTCTGTAGGCTTCATCCATAGAGCAATGCAAGATCGCCGCCAACCATCTCTACCTGTCGCAGCCAGCCTTTAAGCAGAGCATAACTCGCTGCTATCCAACAGATGGTAGACGTGCGCTCCAGACCATGACCTACCCACTCACAGCAGTAGACACCGCGCCCCACGTGGGGTAAACCTCAAACTTGTCTGCTGTTCGTGAGACATGGCCATATGGCGTCGTCAAGTTTTCTGAGGGAGCGTGAGTCTTTGTACTGCTGTGACGGACTTTGGCATCACAAACGCAGGTGGATGCAGGGACCATGTTCACCAACAGAGAGGAGAGTTGCAGGCCATGGATATCAAAAGATCAAGGGGCGAGGAGGACACCCCGACACCCGGTGCCCGTGTGGATCCACCAACAACAGCGATGACAACAGCGGTGCACAACAACGCTTGAAAAAATGACCTCTTGTGCTGTGTTTGCATTACGTTTGGTCCTACTCTCGCCCCGCCGTCGTTTCGGCTACAGATACACCAGCCTCGCGCTTCAGTACCTACGCTTACTAACCATGATTATGTCAGCGGTGAGCCGCATCTTTCCTCCCTTGCCTCTTCCGCCTCGCCGCCAATCTCCAGCTAACGCCTATCGCCTGCACCGCCCACAGCCAGAGCTCCCCCCCCCCTGGTTTCGCGCCCACCAAATCGAGAAACTTCTAGATTTTCTCGGATTCGCGTCGCCAGCGAGAAACGCTCGTTGGTGCGAGGTATCCCACAGCAGATTTCCCTCTAATGGTGCTTGTCGGGGTTAGTGCATCCAGTGTTGGTCGCCCGTGCAATCAGATTGCGCTAAAGGAGTTGCACGCCGTAAAACAAAGTGTCCAAAAATGATAGGGGCTCCGCAAAATGAATTAGTACCGTGGGTGCGCACTCAGAGGCGACCGGAGATGGTTTGAGCTTGTGTGACATATTGTTGTGCGCGGTACAGTACATATCGCCGTGGGGGAAGCGGTGGTGTCGGAGCAACGATTGCCTGTACTCTGTAGAGTTTCACTCTGATTACCAAGTGCGAAGCGAGCGTGGGCCGGACCCCTGGGGAAGACGCGCGCGAAGTAGATTTGTTCTTGTTCGATTTTGCGGACTCTCTGCCGGGAACCAAGAACCAAACGCATTCATTGCCTGGTTCCGGCCGCTTTCGCCAAGGACATATTTCAGCCACGCGTGTCTACCGCTGCGCCTGGTTCCCATCATGGCGTCGAGAGTGCTAGATAAGAAGCTCAAGAAGGTGCTGGATATGCGGACGGACACCCCGGCGTTGTTGGAGTCGCTGGAGGCGATCAGCACGCTCTTCAGCGATCACAGCACAGGCAGCAGCTCGGGAGCTGCCGCGACTACTGCCGATGGGGAGAAGGCGGGGGGGGCGGGGCATGAGTACAACACGCTTGATGCGAGACGGTCGCTCAGAGAGGACCTCGAGCGGCAGGTGAGGTTGTCCAATCCCACACTCAATAGCGCCGACAGCGAAGCTAGCGGCACCTTGGAGCTGGTTGACACTCTGCAGTCTACCTGTAACAGCAGTTGCAACAGCAAGGCTTTTGTTGGGATTATGGGGGACTACGCGCAGCCGGCGCTATCTGACCGCAAGCTTTACTGCTGCATGCTCAGGATGCATTTGTGATGTAGGCGCACGGGGGAGAGTGCTCTGCATCACTTCCATTCCTGTGCTAGTTACCCCCCTCTACACAGGCACATACATGCTGGTTGCAGAGGAGGCGGAGAGATCGGTCCAATCCCGCATCACGACAGCGACGTACGTAGCCTCGCAGGGAGTACTACATGATTGCGTGTATGCATAACCGCGTTTGAAGATTCCTGCTGCTGTACACCAACACCAACCACCCTCTCCGTGCCCCTCGACCAGAACTACAACTTGAGCGCCTGCTTCCAGAAGAGCTTCGAGCGCCTGAGGGACCGCCTTGAAGGCCTGGAGGGGTGCGTCGCCGGGCTCGAGGACGGCTGCTCCTCCATCTCCGGGCGTCTTTCCGCCGCCGACGCCAGCATGCAGCAGTTCACCCTGAGGGCGGAGACGCTGCGGGACCAGAGGAGTCAGCTCGGGAAGCACGCCGATCAGGCAAGAGGGTGCTTTTGCTCTTCTTGTTCCGTCCCTGGCGCCACCATGCACCAAGCGTTTCCCTACTGCTGTGTGGCTGCCGGTGTGTTTTCTAAAAGCGCAAATCACCTGCCGTTTTGGCGCCATGCATGAAGCGTTTCGTTGCGTCGCTGCTGCTGCGGTGTTTATCTTCAGGCGATGAAGGCGCGTGACTTGTTAAGGCTTCGCCGCCACACGTGAATCTTGCGTTTGGTCGCGCGCAATATACAACTTTCCGCTGTTGGGCGATGCTTCACAGCCCTCGCCACGCAATCACACGGGTCTACAGTCAAATGGGTTATGGCTTGACAAACATTTCCCTGCCTCACCGCAGTGCTCGGTGGGGTATAGGCAACGCGTTGTGCGCGTGCATGGCCGAGAAGGGGAGATACACATGCCATTCCAAGCTCGTAGGGAGAAAGAGGGAAATATGCGATTCGTCTTTCGCGTAAGGCTGCTAGTCTCTCTCACGTCACTCGCATATACCACACAGATCTCCGTCCAAACTACACCTTTGCGAAACCACGCACGACCATGTTTGGGTGCGTGTGTTTCCGTGTTATCCCACACAACAAATCGTCGCAGGTGTCCCTGTTTCTGGAGAGGTTTCAGCTCACGCCCGACGAAGTAGAGGCTCTCTCGGCGCAGCTCGAGCCCGACCAAGGCAGGCGCTTCTTCTCCGCCCTGCTCAGGCTCAAGACCGTTCGGGCCTCTTGCGGTCGGCTGGTGGGGTCCAGCCCGCAGAGCGCCGGGTAAGCTTCGGTGTTCGTGGTCTTCTAGCTTTTCTTTTTTTTTTTCGTCACTTGAACCTTGGCTGTATGGGAACGTAAAACGAGACCGTGGCTGGTTGTGCGATTGAGTTTTGTTTTTTTATTTGGTGTGTGTGTACGTATTCAATCATTCTCCCAAGCTTCTCCTGATGATCTCTTTCCGCCTCGGCCCTTCCCGCTCTCGCCCGCCCTTCGAACCATCTCCTGTGCCGTGTGCGTGCGCTTTCCCTCAAGGTTCGAGCTGTTGGAGCAGCTCAGCAAGCACCAGGAGGCGGCATACGAACGGCTGTATCGGTGGGTGCAGGACCGCTGCCAGACGTTGGAGGAGGAGACGCCCGCGGCTGACGTGACCCTGCAGGTTCGTCCGATCGAGTAGAGAGAGACCGTTCCTGAGTCGCGCCGGATTTGTTGTCGTTGTTGTTGTCGTTTGCTTTTTCGGTGTCGTTATCTATTGTGAATGGTACCAAGTGTGTGCATCAGTCTTCGCCTTGTTTCTTCGTCGCTCTCCCTCCCACCCACCCACCCACCCATTCACAATCCCACGGTACCCACGCAGGCTGCGGTACGATGTCTTCGAGATAGGCCGCTCTACTACGCACATTGTCAGGTACGCCGCGCACCGTGATTCATTCCTCGATCGAGAATTACCACCTGACAGTTTGAGTGTGTTCCGTGCTGTTCTCGGACTAGGACTCTCGATGACGGCAGTGTGTTTGCAGGGCTACCCCTTATTGCCAAGTGTGAAGCGTTTCCCTGGTCCCTCCGAAGGTAACACGGGTTGCCTGTTCAGACCGAAAAATGTGCTCCATGCTGTAATAGTCGGATGGTTATTTTCTCGCCTGGTGCAGATTGTCTCGACGTGTCTCAGATGCGCAGCGTCCGGGGCATAAGGGAGGACGGCAGACTGCAATGCTACCCTATACTGGATGTGTGTTTCCCCTTTTTTGTGGCATGTGCATGTCCTTGTCGTAGTGGAGTAAACGAGCTTTTTGCAATCAGTGCAACCTTTGGTTCATGTCGTTGAACTCCGCGCTCTGTTCTCGAGTCTTTTTTTGCGTTGACTTCCATCGTATCGTGTTTTCGGCCTGAATCAACACAAGACGGAGACTTGTGTCCTATTCTTCCATCCCATGGGTGGCTTCAACATTGCTTATGTTTTATCCCCCGGCGTGAGCTGGGGTCCCGAAAACGCGTCAAATGTATGTGTCCTCCACATGACCCGCCCCTCCCCTCGTGTATGCGAGCGTAAATAGTATGACGCCCCCCCCCCCCCCTCGCTCCTGGGGTGCGCGCCTGTGTGCATTTTTTTCATTGCTGGCCCTCGCCCTCGTCTTCAGGAGAGTATAGTAAACATGCGGCGCAAGCTGCTGGTGCAGAGGTTCGTGATGGCCTTGACGTCTGGGCAGTCGTCGGTTCGACCGATCGAGATGCAGGCCCACGACCCGGTCAGGTGCGTCGATCAGCGTCGAAAAGCGCCCGCCGCCCACTACATAGCCGGTGGTCGCATGCGTGGCCCTCAAGACTCTTTGTGCTGGAGAAGGAAAACGGCTTAAAAACATCGCACGCGCGCCCCCCCACCCACACCGCCTCCACGCAAATGTTTTTTGCGACGAATGTTTGTCACACGTGATCGGAAAATCTCGTCGTGCTCGAGAACGGCTTTGAAACATGGCGCACCCTCCCCCGTAGACGTTTCTCGTGACCGGACAAGACCCACAAAGAGCTAAACAGAAGCTGCTGTGGATGCCCGGAACTGCCGCCTGGACGGACGTGCCCATGCGACACGCCCAGGCCCGATACTTTGATAGATGCGTTCGTCTTTGTTCCGCTGCGGTGGTGAATCACCGGTCTCGGGGGTGTGTAAAAGGCACCATTACCCCCCCCCGCCTCGTACGACCCTCTCGAGGACGACGGGCAGTCAATGGTCGTAACAACTATGCCCCGTTTTATAGCGCTTCGTCCCGGCATGAGGGGCACCCGCGTCAGTGTGTCCGAGTGGTTAAGGAGACAGATTTGAAACCTGTTGTGATCTCACGCGCGGGTTCAATTCCCGTCGCTGACGTTAACTTTTTTCCCGGGATGTTCACGGTGTGGAACCGCACGGCGGTTCGCTTTTTTGCTTTTCGACATGGTCAGGGTGCGGTTCGGTACGGTTTTTGCCATCTCGATTTTTTACGGTGCAGTGCGGTGTGGTGCGGTGCGGTTTGTTTCATCTCCATTGGTGACGGTACTGTGCGGTGCGGTGCGGTTTTTTTATATGTCGAAATATGACGATGCGGTGCGGTGCACCGTCGCACGTTTTTTTTTTTACGGTACGGTTTTTTTCACCCCGTGATCAAAACCGCGCGAAAAGCGGCCTTGGTGGCGGTGCACCGTCGAAGAAAACCGCCGAAATACTACGATTATCCGGGAAAAAAAATGGTGAATCTACGATTTTATGGAATACATCAGGTTTTGCCAATCGTAGGTAAATTTTGATACACATGGTGCTGCTGTGCGTGAAGGCCGCCAACAACAAAATCCGCGGCCTTGCGGTCAGACAACCCGAATACCCGTGACTCCATGAGAAGGCACTGCTGTTTCATTCATTTCGTTCTATTCGAGTCACCTTACGTCCCTACAACAGCATCAACAGCAGCTACATTCCTCACTTGCCTCTACTGCTGTTGCAACTCTTCGAGTAGAAACTGGCAGCACCAGGCGGCTCATGTCCACGACCACCGTAAATGCGTCCCTTCTGCACTCAGTCAGAGTCGAGCTCGATAACTACTTGCTCTCCCTCACAGGCAGCTTAGTTAGACAGATGCAACTTTTGCTTTCCTGGTGAGCGTCTCCATGGAAATACCGTGACTCAACTGCGGTAATTCCGCGGTTGTTACCGCGCTTTAGTGCGGATTTACCTCGGTGTCGGCCACCGAGTAGGACAAACCGCACCGAGATAAAATGAAAACTTCATCTACGGTTTCTTCTGAATCCCCACGGTGCGGTGCGGCGCGATGCGCTTTTGTTCATCGCCAACTGTTGCGGTGCAGAGCGGTGCTGAGCGGTGCGGTTTTGTCACATTACGGTGCGGTGCGGTGTGGTGCGGTCAAACCGCACCGCACCGCACCGCACCATCGAAAAAAACTGCACCGTGAACATCCCTGCTTATTTCCCCTCATCGCGGGTTTTCATCGCTTGGCAACAACGTTGTTAAACACGCCGATCGGTTCGTAAGCTCGACAACCAGATTACCGGGATTTTTTTACCTCTGTTTTTTTTTGCGGTTCCCATCATGGTGGTCGAGTAGATCATGTCGTGCGGGGTAGAGAACGTTCACTCCGCGCAAGGGGGATGATCGCACCACGTTGTGCTAAATTGGTGAAGTACCCTCGAGGCAGTTACACATTGCTTATAGCTGTCTCTGGAAGTGAAAGCACCAGAAATAAATGAAGTCATTCGCAGCTGTCATCCGTTGCAAGGAAGAAAGCACAAGATGCCGAACACCCTTAGCAGGATGCAGCGCACCCTCCATGCGACTTGCCAAATACGGAATACCTCACGGTGCTTCGCGCTTGGTGATGTGAAAGCCTTATCCGGTGAGAACCCGGCGTGCTCCGTCCCGGCTTTGTAGGGATGCGAGAAGTACCCTCGAGGCAGTTACACATTGCTTATAGCTGTCTCTGGAAGTGAAAGCACCAGAAATAAATGAAGTCATTCGCAGCTGTCATCCGTTGCAAGGAAGAAAGCACAAGATGCCGAACACCCTTAGCAGGATGCAGCGCACCCTCCATGCGACTTGCCAAATACGGAATACCTCACGGTGCTTCGCGCTTGGTGATGTGAAAGCCTTATCCGGTGAGAACCCGGCGTGCTCCGTCCCGGCTTTGTAGGGATGCGAGAAGTACCCTCGAGGCAGTTACACATTGCTTATAGCTGTCTCTGGAAGTGAAAGCACCAGAAATAAATGAAGTCATTCGCAGCTGTCATCCGTTGCAAGGAAGAAAGCACAAGATGCCGAACACCCTTAGCAGGATGCAGCGCACCCTCCATGCGACTTGCCAAATACGGAATACCTCACGGTGCTTCGCGCTTGGTGATGTGAAAGCCTTATCCGGTGAGAACCCGGCGTGCTCCGTCCCGGCTTTGTAGGGATGCGAGGTCAATGGTCTAACGACTACGGCATGAACGGCTATGAGTACCCCCCCCCCCCTCCTCTTCATAATCGTCCTCTCGACGGCACGCAGTCATAGTCTAGCAACCAAGGGATGCAAAACATGAGTACGCTCTCTTCATTCCGCTCCGTCCCAGCATTGAAAGCAACGGTCTAACGACTACGGGATGCGTTTACATGAGTAGTCTACACCCCCCTCCCCCTTCGTCTGCTAATGGTTCAGGTACGTGGGTGACATCCTCGCGTGGGTTCACCAGGCGGTTGCGATGGAAAAGGAGTTGGTGGCGGCCCTGTTCGGCGGCGGCGGCGGCGGCGGCGGCGGCGGCGGCAACGATAGCGGCAGCGGTGGGGAAGACGGAGGCGCGCTCGCCCCCGGGGACGGGGCGGCGGGGGCGGCTGCCGGAGAGGGCGAGGGCCTCATGTCGGCGGAGGAGGTGCTGTGCAAGGTTCTGCAGGGGATTGCGAGGCCGCTACAGGTGGGAAGGAGGGGGGGGGCGATTGCAGGTGGAAGAAGTCTTGCGTTTGGGACGGGCGTTGGGTGTTTCCTGTTGGGCCATTGGGGAAGGGGAGCGGCAAGGAGCGGCAAGACTGTATTATAGTAGCACCGAGCAGGTTATCCGATTTGTTTTTTCCTTCCTTTCCGGAAAATCCGTGGCAGCAATGAGGAAGTTATCCAATCGGTTCTTGTGTTTCAGTTCTGGAATGCGATGCTGATTCCTCGGGGTGTGATTCGTGCTGGGGGTCAGTACAAGAGACGAGCCTCCCCGGCGGAGGACATCTTTCACTGTGGTTAACGTTCACGGTATACCGTATTTGACATGGGGTACCACACACCCCTTGGACCGAGTTTCGAAGCTCGATTACTCCACAGCAGAAAGAGTGGCAGCGCCGAAAACGGCGTGTTGAAGCCGTGTCGTCGAGAGCTTTCCGAAAACGGATCGTTTCATTCATGCATCCCCTTCGTCGTGGAGTTGTAATCGAGCCTAGCAAATAGGTCCAGTGGGCGTGGTATTTTGTGGCACCTAGGGTAGTTGGGCGCTTTTTTTGCGTGTCAAGTATAGGTCATCCGCGAGTGTTGCAGTCATTCCGACGGCTACCACCTTCGGCCTGACGAAGAGTACACCGAAGGTCTCAGGGGGGAGGGGGTGCATGGATGGCCCCGGTGCCCATCTGGCCGGGGGGGGGTTACCCCGCCTACTCAACCACAACCCTCTCCTAGGGTAATGGCAGCAACACGGCCCCCCCAAAAGTATCGGTTGAATAGGTGCCGGCTTTTGAAGTCACGTGTCACATGGGAGGACGAAATCAAGCTAAGCACCGCTTTGATTGCGGCCGGCATCTACGTTAGTGCCGGTGAGTTTTGTTGGCAGATCACATCCCGTCGTTGTTCCTCCAATAAACCCGCCCGCCTGCGTAGACGAACGCCCTCCCTTCAATGAATCAACAACCGCTTGCTGCTCACACGCGTGCTCCTCCCTTCCTGCTGTTCCTCGTCTTACGTCGGCGAAAAAAAATTACGACGCGCGATCTAAATATTTTGGCCCGATCGTCCCAGTCTCGGGTGTCGACGGTGCTGGAGTCTGTCCGGGAGGCCGGGGTGGGGTACCGCCTCCTAAACCTCCTGGCCTTCTACCGAGCCACCGTGGGGCAGCTCGCCGGCCTCGACAGCCCGGTGCTCGAAGCGCTTTCAGAGTGCCGGAAGAACGCGGACGACACCTTCCGACACGCAATGAAGCGAGAGGTGCGGTGCGGTGGGTGGTTTTGGTTGGTTATTCTTGAGTTTGCCGTTCCGGGCGATGTATGCACCGGCTGAGCTTACGGCCACCGCGCTCCAACAGCGGGATGACCAATGGAATCAAGACGATTCACCCTTGTTTGACGGCCAAGAAATACGAAATTTTCGCATTCTTGTCTGCCCCCCCCCTCGTCATCGTGAGGTCGCGGTGTGCTGTGCGTTTCTGCTTGCGTGCTATGTGTTGTTGCGTGGTATGTATATCGGCACGGGGAGGTTATGGCGGCACGTTCTGTTGTCACCGGGTCGGAGACCGAAACGCTCTCGAGCGAAAGCGTGTGCGTGCGCGTCATGTGCGTTGCGGTTCCGGTAAGCGTAATTTTCTCTGTTTTATTAGTGTTGGTTTTTTGCTCTTTTCGGCGGGTTTGAAGACGATGCGTGCCGCGGACCGGCGTGCGTGGCAAACAGGCTTGGTGTTGATGCTCGAGGGGCAGCAAAGCACCCGTGACGGACGCGCGTGAGATGCACAAGCCGTATTTTTTTCTTGTATGGTCCTGCATGGTTGGTTCTGGTGACGATTGCCGTTCACGGGTTGGAAATCTTCGTCTCTGTGTTATTTAATTTCAGGTTTTGGCGATCTTCCTTCATAGTGGTTGTCTCAGTTTTAATCATGTTTGTAATGTACCTCCCTGCTTATCTCTTGTGTGTGTGCACATTGAGTTATCTGAGTTTGTTCCCCAAGGCCCCCATCATGATGTTTTCACGTCACATGTGTTACTTACTGCATGCGTCTGACGGTTCTCCGACAGGGCGACAGGCTTGTTGCGTCCCCTCCCGCCTACACGGCCGACCTCTCGGCGCTCCCCGCGGCACTGGACGGAGCCAAACGCCTTACCGAGGTGTTGCAGGTGAGACGGCATGATATCCACATCATCGTGCTGCTGTCCGTTTTTTCGCTGTGTCGGCCGCCCGTTCGTTACGCGTCCGAGCCGGGGCTTTGCTTCGGTCGTTCACGGTGGCAAGAGAAAGCTGGCGATGATGATCTCGACACGTTTGTGTGATCAAGGGATCTTGTTGAACTTTTACGTGTTCTTGTCTTCGTGCTTCTCTTGTCTTGTGGCAACGGTAACACGCCCTGCCGCCCCACCCTCTCGTAACATTAGCGACCCGGTCGGTGCCCCCCCCTCCCTGAACCGACCCGCCGCACGCCTCGCCGCAAAGGTGGGGCCAAGGCGCCTGCCCGGAAGGCGAGAAACCCTGGCATTCTCCGCGCAACTGCTTGATGTACATAGGGTTGCGACGAGGGTCGGGCTACGGCGACGCGGCGTGCAGAAGCAGCAGCGAACGCTCTTTCCACGAATAATGTGTTCGCGAAAGCCCCTTCAGTCCATTAGTCCTAACACACTTTTCCCACCACCGTTGCATAGGTGCACTCCACCTCTCTGGTCCCCGCCGGCGAGCCGGAGTCCGACGTGCAGCCGGTTCTGTCGGGCATCGTGGAGCCGTTGCTGAAGGCTTGCCGCCTTAGCGCGGACGGGCTGGACCCTTCGGACGGGGCCGTCTTCATGCTTAACAACATCGACGCGATCCGGGAGGCTCTCGTCGCCCACGCGGTGCGTCCCTCTCTCTTCTTTTCCAGGGTTTCGTGGCCGTGCTCTGTCTGTGTGCCTGTCTCGCTCTCCCCCTTTATGTCTCTGGATCTCTCTGTCTCTCCCCGTCTCTGTCTCTTTTTACTGTTTCTCTGTCTCTCATTCTCACATTCTCGCGGCCTCTTTCTGCCTGGTCCTCTCTGCCTCTCCCTTTCCCCCCCTCTCTTTCCTTTTTCCCTTTGAGACCGTGTACGATGTTGGCCGTGCCTAGCCAAGATAGCAGTACACCAGAGCCGTTTCAATCTTGTAGTCGTGTTACGTCCACACGGGACCGGCCCCCCACCCCCAGAATGTCATCCTCGAAACGCGTGGATTGCGGGGCGTGGGTTAAGCACAGGCGTGGCACTCGCTGCTTTGGAAATACACAGTTGTTACCCGAGGTTTCGAAATAAGTAAATTGGCGAGGGACAGAGCCTTGCGATACAGTGAAGCCATTCGCTCTTCAGCAAGCAGAGAAAGCAAGACCGACGTCCTAGCCACTAAGTTTCGAGCGACGGTGCGATTAATTTTGTCATATATTTCCGTGAATGGCAGCACACTGAGGCATGGACTCTAGAGCTGACAACGGAGATGGACAAGTGGCTTGGGGTCCTGGTGCGGCATCAGGCGGACAAGGTACGTTTATTGTTTTTCCCTCGTGTTCATTGCTAAGGCAAGAATTGCTTGCCGCAGCGGGGTTAAGCACGTGATGACGGGGGTACATCATGCCCCGGGAACATGTTTCTCGGTATAGATCCCTTACGACAAGGGCGCCACTCGAGGCGATACACACCGTGGTGCCAGTGAGGTATTGATTTACGCTAGGCGTGGGAGATTACACACACTCTCTCTCTCTCTCTTTCTGTCCGTGTGTCATGTCTGCCCACATGTCTGTCTCTCACTACCCTTATCTGTTCTGATGCTGGCCCTGCCTGACACATACACTCACTAGAACGAAGACGTACTACTGCTTTGCGGTGCAAGCTGACCCAGAGCATACCCCTTGCCAAACTCCCTGGCGGCGTGATTTGTCGGCTGTCGCAGGTGTTGGAGAGGTGCGGTGTGGCCCAGGCAGTCCGAGCGGCCGCTGCGGCCGAAGGCCAAACAGGCCCCATGAACGAAGTCGTGAGTACAATCAATCCCCGTGCCCATGTTGCGTGTTGCAGCCCACGATATTCGCTGTTTGTGGGCAGAATATGCTTGTCTCGATGTCTTCTGTTTCTAGCTCAGAACCCATGACCCCTCTCCTTTACACCTGATCTCCCTCGTCCGTTCCCCCTCCCTATCGTTCTCCCCCTCACTGCTTCTCTCGCTCTGTCTGTGTATTTCTGCCTGACCATAATCTTTTCATACGTCTCTCCCTGTCCCCTTCCCTTTCCCTAACCCCCGGTCTCTCTCTCCCTCTCTCTCTCTTTCTCTCTCTCTCTCTCTCTCTCTCTCTCTCTCTCTCTCTCTCTCTCTCTCTCTCTATCTCTCTCTCTCTCTCTATCTCTGTCTCTCTGTCGGTCTCTCCCTCTCTCTCTCTCTCTCTCTCTCTCTCTCTCTCTATCTCTCTCTCTCTCTCTCTATCTCTCTCTCTCTCTCTCTCTCTCTCTCTCTCTCTCTCTCTCTCTCTCTCTCTCTCTCTCTCTCTCGCTCTCTCT